TCCATGATGACCAAATAAAAAGAATCTGATCATTTAAATGTCTCTGTTTCAGAGTTAAAGAAGAATTCTAGGCTTTACCTAATTAATCTTACAAATGTCCCCTTTCCCTTCCTAACGACTGTGCTAGCAACCTCTGTAAGAAAGATGAACTCACCTATTTTCAGACAGTTCTGGTCCAGTCATGTGATTCAGCTCCCCTTTGCCAGTCATTCAGCTCCCCTGTGTGAATGGGAGTGGAGGGAGAAAAGACATTGGATGGACCATGTGAGCCTCGCACCCTAGTTTACCAGCTGTTGTTGAGCTGATGTCGCTCTCTTCCCTCCTCTGCAGATGCTACTGAGAAATCATGTGACTGGACAGGAGCGGCTTGAAAATAGGTAATGTACATCTTCATTACGCAGATTAGTCAGCATAGGTGTTAGGAGGGGGGAGTAAGCATTTAAAGGTTAGTTAGGTATAGCTTGAAATTTTATTTTAAAGTTTGAAGTTATTGAGCCAAAAAGAAAAGATAGATTCGTGAAACTACAGCCGGGTTTGAGTCAATTTTACTTTTTACCAAAAAGAATGCCTCTTCATCATTTGCAATACTCCCAATCCTGGAACATAATAACATATGCACATACAGTTGTGGCCAAAATTATTCAACCCCCACTGAAAATTGAGTGTTTTGGCCAGTTTGACATTGCTTTTGATCATTATCTTGCTTACATTTTTTAAAGAGGCACTTGTAGGTCAGACAAATATAACATAACAGTTATAATTGAATAATAACCACAAATGTCTTTTCTGTGCTCACAGCATTATCAGTTTTATTCAACCCCCAAGTGACATTCAATCTTAGTATTAGTACAGCATCCTTTTACAGTTATAACAGCTTTTAAACGTGAAACATAGCTTGACACAAGTGTCTTTGCAGCGATTTTACGGGTATCTTCGCCCTCTTCATGGGCAAAGGCCTCCAGTTCAGATAGGCTTGCGCACTGCAACTGCTTTTTTTAAGTCCCACCATCGGATTTAAGTCAATGCGATGGCCACTCCAAAAAATTTTCCAGCCTTTCCTCTGCAACCATGCTCTAGTGGACTTGGAGGTAATGCTTGGGATCATTGTCCTGTTGAAAGGTCCAACGTCTCTCCCAAGCCTCAGGTGTGTGACGGACTGCATCACGCATAAATATCTCCTGGTACTGAAGAGAATTTTGGTACCTTGCACACGCTGAAGCTTCCCTGTAAACAGAAGCAAAACAGCCCCAAAGCATGATTGACCCTCCATCACAGTAGGCAATAAATTTTTCATCATAGGCCTTGTTCTTCCTCCTCCAAACATAGCGTTGATCCATGGGCCCAAACAGTTCTAATTTTGTTTCATCAGTCCACAGAACACTATCCCACAATTTTTTTTTTAATGGCTTTTGGCATAGAGGACTCTTCATGGAGACAGCAGTTTCTGCCTTCATTACGCATGTGATTGTTGGAATTGACACATCTGACAAATCTTTTCTCAGTTCCTCAGCATCACACGGGGACTTCTCTCCACTCTACGCTTCATAGCATGAGCATCTTCTTTCTGCCACGACCAGGTAGCGTTTCAACAGTGCCCCTTTGCCTTGAATTTGCGAATGATGCTTCCTAAGGTGTCTCTTGGTATGTTTAACATCTTTGCAATATAGCCATTGCCCTTCCTGTGAAGAAAACCTCTCTTCTCTTGTCTTCCTGGACCATTCTCTTGCCTTCACCATGTTTGTAACCTACCAGTAAATGTCTAGAAGGAGCTGAGTATCACAGTCATTTTAAAGCTGCCTAATTGGTGCTTATTAGCTTGATGTGACATCCACAGGTGTTTTCAATACCTGATGGAAAGCACCTGTATGAACCTCTGTTCTTCAGAGTGAACAGGGTTGAATAATTGTGGCAATGAAAGAAACCACATAAGAACCATTTACTACTGTATTCATAAACAATTGATGTCATTTTAGTTGCATTTGGGTAGTTACAACGTCCTTGTAGGATTTGATTCTGAATACAATTCCAAATGTACCTTATATCCCTAAACCCCTTTACAGCATTGGGGGTTGAAAATTTTGGCCAAACTGTACACTCTTTGCTGTATAAATATGCATATGCACACATTTAAAAGAGGGTACCTAACAATGGATTCAGAGCAATATGTTTTTTTTAAGGAGGCATAGCTTGTTTCTCGTAGCCCAGCATACAATGAAAACTTCTGATTTGTTGAGCAATTTTTGAGCCTGTAGCCTCTTCTGGAGACACAATTGCTACTATAATTGTATTTTTTTAAACAATAAATTATTGTTAAATGTTGGGAGGCTTGCAAGGAAATAGCAAAATGTTGAAGGTTTTAGATTTTGGAATTGAGCCTCAAAATGAATAATGAATACTTTGAGATAATGACCTGAATAAATATGCAGACCAGGAAAGTTGGAACTCACCTTATCTACATGTGTCTAAATAAGGGGATCAGCATGACAGGAAGTGAATAAATGAAGAAGAGCTCATCAATGTCAGCCTTTATGTATCTTCATTAAAATACTTCTTTGTAAACTATATGGTTTATTTTTTTATCTGAATTTCTAAACAGATTTTTAAAATATCTGTTGTATATAGCAGTAGTTACCTCCTTTCAGGAAAGCTGTCTCATAACCTAAATGGAGGCATTCAGTGTGTTTTATATTTCAGCTTGAACCACTGAGCTCTGTAAACAGATTGTTTTTCAGCAGGAGGTAAGGAGATGTAAATGCCAAAAGCTACCATATGTCTTAAAAAAAATGCAAAAATATGAATATGCAATATTTTACATCTACCTGACTAAAATAGAAAACATTTTTGTTCTGAATATAGCATGCAAAGGAATAAAATACACTGCTCCAAAAAATTAAAGGAACACTTTGAAAACACATCGAGATCTCAAAGGGGAAAAATATCATGCTGCATATCTATAATAATATGGATTGGGTAATGTGTTAGGAACATTAGGATGCCCAATCATTTGATTGAAATAAAATGTATCAACCTACAGAGGACTGAATTCAAAAACACCCCGAAAATCAAAGTGAAAAAACGATGCAGCAGGCTAGTCCATTTTGCTGAAATTTCATTGCAGCAACTCAAAATGGTACTCAGTAGTTTGTATGGCTCCCATGTGCTTGTATGCATGCCAGATGATGACAGATGGTGTCCTGGGGTATTTCCTCCCAGATCTGGACCAGGGCAGCACTGAGCTCCTGGACAGTCTATGGTACAACCTGGTGGCTTCGGATGGACTAAACATGATATCCCAGAGGTGTTCTATTGGATTTAGGTCAGGTGAGCGTGGGGGCCATTCAATAGTATCAATTCCTTCATCCTCCAGGAACTGCCTTCATACGCTCACTACATGAGGCTGGGCATTGTTGTGCACCAGGAGGAACCCAGGACCCACTGTACCAGTGTAGGGTCTGACAATGTGTCCAAGGATTTCATCCCAATACCTAATGGCAGTCAGGGTTCCATTGTCTAGACTGTAGAGGTCTGTATGTCCCTCCGTGGATATGCCTCCCCAGACCATCACTGACCCACCACCAAAACAGTCATGCTGATCGATGTTACAGGCAGCATAATGTTCTCCATGGCTTCTCCAGACCCTTTCACATCTGTCACATGTGCTCAGGGTGAACCTGCTCTCATCTGTGAAAAGCACAGGGTGTCAGTGGTGGACCTGCCAGTTCTGGTGTTCAATGGCAAATGGTGCCGGGCAGTGAACACAGGACCCACTAGAGGACGTCGAGCCCTCAGGACACCCTCATGAAGTCTGTTTCTGATTGTTTGGTCAGAGACATTCACACCAGTGGCCTGCTGGAGGTAATTTGTAGGGCACTGGCAGTGCTCATCCTGTTCCTCCTTGCACAAAGAAGCAGATACCGATCCTGCTGATGGGTTAAGGACCTACTACGGCACTGTCCAGCTCTCCTAGAGTAACTGCCTGTCTCCTGGAATCTCCTCCATGCTCTTGAGACTGTGATGGGAGATATAGCAAACCTTCTGGCAATGGCATGTATTGATATGCCATCCTGGAGGAGTTGGACTGCCTGTACAACCTCTGTAGGGTCCAAGTATCGCCTCATGCTACCCATAGTGACACTGACCCTAGCCAAATGCAAAACTAGTGAAAAACAGTCAGAAAAGATGAGTAGGGAAAAAAATGTCAGTGATCTCCACCTGCAAAACAATTCCTGTTTTGGGGGGGTTGTCTCATTGTTGCCCATCTATTGCAGCGGTTGTTAATTTCATTAAAACCAAAGCAGCTGAAACTGATTAACAACCCCCTCTGCTACTTAACTGACCAGATCCCAGGAGTTTAATTGATTTAATGCTATACTCTGATTAAAAAGTGTTCCTTTAATTTTTTTGAGCAGTGTATATGCCATAGGCAGTGAAAAGACATAGTAAATAAATAAAGCAGACTTAAAATAATAACAGGGAAAACTAAAATAATTATTTTGACTATCTCAAGTGAATTGCTGGCAAAAAATATGTTATTAGGAAATATAATAAACATGTATTTACAAAAGTTGACTTGTTTATTTAGCTGTCTGCTTAAAGGTCCACTTTAAATGTTTAATTAAATGATAATATTTAGTAAAATAGAAAAATAAAATAAAATTAGTAATAAATTATTATATTAGTCATGACATCATATTTACAATGTTACCATTCATTAATTTGTAATACCTATTTGAAATATGCACTTTTTCAGCATATTTTTATGCCACACATTTACCAGTTATTAGCCAAATACAGAAAACGGAATCCCCCTCCTGAGCAACATTCTCTTGGCTAACTCTCAATGCATATAGTTAACATGTAAGTGCTTTTTGTTTTTGTTTTTTTAAGCATAATACAGAGACATTTACAAATTTTGTAATAGCTGATAAACATTTCCAAACTATGTTTATATAGTATGAGAATAATATTGTAATCGTATAACTGTCACTTTATTTTAGACTCTTAACTGTTCATCGGTTGACTGTCTTCTTGAGAAATACTACTTATCAACTGTGTACTCACTAGAGTTTATATTTGGCATTCTTGGGAATGGCGTTGTAATGTTTGGCTATATCTTTTGTATGAAGAAATGGACCAGCGGAAGTATCTACCTCTTTAATCTGTGTTTGTCAGACTTCGCCTTCCTCTGCACGCTCCCTCTATTGATTGAAAGTTATGCCAATGGACGCTGGATCTTTAATGAGATCTTGTGCTACAGCAACAGATACCTACTTCATGCCAACCTGTACACCAGCATCCTCTTCCTCACCTTCATCAGTATTGATCGTTACCTGCTTATCAAGTGCCCTTTTAAAGACCACATAATGCAGAAGAAACTTATGGCAGTCACCATATCTGTTGGCATTTGGTTTGTAGTTATGTTAGAGATTTCTCCAATTCTATTCTTCATAGAACTGCGTAATAACAGCCAGTGTCTCAGCTATGGGAGCTCTGGGATGGCCTCATCCAGTCTCATCTACAGTGTTTGCCTTAGCGTCACTGGCTTCCTCATCCCTCTCTGTACCATGTGTTTGTTCTACAGGAAAATTGTTTCTTTTCTCAGGACCAGGAATCAGCTGCTTACAACATCCTTTTCTCTTGAGAAACCTCTTACTTTAGTGTATGTGGCTTTGATTGTGTTTTTTATCCTTTTCACCCCATATCACATCATGAGAAATGTAAGGATCGCCTCGCGAATGGAGGACTGGAAGCTGAGTAAGGAGACAATGATCATCATCAATTCCATTTATGTCATTACACGCCCCATTGCATTTCTAAATAGTGTAATAAACCCTGTGTTCTACTTTCTTATGGGGGACAATTTTAGGGAAATGTTGTTGGCAAGGGTTCAGAACATTCTTCGGGTAATAAAATGTCAATGTGCCTATAAATTCAGCTCTAGTCATCAGGAAACTAGAGACTATAGCAGAGAGTCATATCAATAGGTTTTATACATAGTGGATATACAATAGTATTATAAGTCCTTTTGCAGTATTTTCCGTAACATAGAAAACTCCAACATGCTAAATATTTAAGTTATAAGCTGTTTTTCTTATTCCTAAAATAATAAGCTGTAGAAGCAGCTTAAAGTGTTACTAAACCCAGGGCCCTGCTGCATCCACTATATCTGGTCTCCAGCAGTACACAGAACATGGAAGTGCAATTATTTTAGTAAATATAAACTGCCAAATACCTTTTCTCATCTGCAGTTACAGCAGTCTTGTGACTTCTATTAGCACTCAGCCCAGCACTAACTAAAGCTGGTAGGAGGAGTTTTTTTTCTGCTCTAGGAGGATGTAAAACCCCTGATCTCTTTCTGACCAGTTCTGATTGGCCCTGTGCTGATCACAGGCACTCTCCCAAGAAAAAAAAACCTCTCTAGACATACACACCAAACTGAACATGTGCAAATGCCTACGGTTTAGTCTGTCTTATCAGGAGATAAGAGGTGGTCCCTTGAAAAATGGGAGCAACAGAGAAGAAAGGATCAAACGGCTTTTTTACAAAGTGCAGAGGATTAACCCCTTAGGTTCCACAGTCAGTATAACCAGCATGCTTTACTGCATATACAGGTTGATTTTACTGTTGTGGGTTTAGTAACACTTTAATGTTATCCTATGTATCCATGCACATTAGAATGTTTAAGGCATATTTTAGACTCAGCATTTAAAGGCAGAAAAAAAACCCTTCTGGTTTTCATTTTTGATTGGAGTTTTCTAGCAGAAAAAAAAAATGCTAAACACTACTAAACATGACTAAACATGTACAAAAATGCTCTACATGAGCATTTTTTTTCTGCCAAGGGAATTGGCATTTTTTAAGCCCAGTGTGCATAAAGCTTAAAGGATGTTGAGCATACATGGTTATCTGTATAGTATAGTTCCAATCTTGAAAATTACCAAAAAATAAATCAATGATAAAATGAGAGGAATATCAAATCATGTACAAAAACAATGAAAAATAAATTTTTTGCTTGTCCTTGAATGTATAATTGAAAAATAAATTCACCTTACTCACTAAACTTAAAAAAATCACTTTTCAAGGAGCAAAATCACTCTGTTAGTGATCTGCAAGCAAATATCCTGTTTTATTTTATTTTCCTTATACATGATTGGGTATTCTTTGCAAACTGAATTTTCATTGTGTTTCCCTCATTTACTAAAATAAGTGAAAATTTACTTTGCACAGTTAACATGCTCCACTGCTTTAGTCAATCAACCACAGTTGATAAATAGTTGCTAAAGACAGCATCCCTCTGCTCAAATTTTTACAAATCAGTCAGTCTGTACTTTGCCCAACTAATTTTTATTTAAAAGGTACAAAACAAAGCAAGTTATTTTTTATACCGGTTAGTAATGTATCCTAAAAGTGATATTAAATATATAAAGTTTAGTTGCCATTATCTCTTCTATGCAAGGGCGGACTGACCATTTGTGTACTCGGGCACTGTCCGAGGGCCCAGGGTCAGTAGGGGGCCCCATGAGATGCCCCTGGTACATATAGCCCATTTTTTTTTGGGTGGGCAAAGACATAGGGGCCCCATGAGCTGTCAGTCCGCTCCTGCTTCTATGTATGCATAAAGATCATGCTGCTGTATTTATTTTAATATAAAAATCATCCTAGTAGCTTGTTTAATCTATGCTGTTCAGCGGTCACCAGTCACATGACATTTCCCAGGTCTTTCCTGTCCTCGGGAAAAGATCTGAGGGAGAAGTGTCTAGTACTCTGCTGATGTATGCTCTATAGCAGGATGTCTGGATCGGGGGGGCTGACAACTCATGGGGACCCCGGGCAATAAGGGATCATGGGGCCCCTGTGTCCTTGCCCAAACTCAAAAAAGCCTATGAAAAAGGTACCAGGGGCATCTGGCAGTGACCCCCGGGCCCTCGGGCAGTGCCTGAGTTTCCAAATGGTCAGTCTGCCCCTGGTCTTGACTATGAATCTGTGTCTGCACAGTGCTGACTGGTGTTGTGTCACATGACTTTAAAAAAAGGCTTTCAGAATAGAGAATTAAAATAAATAATGAATAGTAACAAAATCTTTTACAGCTTATTACAAATATATATTTCAAAGCAAGCATTTATTGTTTTTTTGCTATACCATGCTGTAGTTTAACTTGACTGACAATAGCTTTCACTTTGTTCACATGGTAAAGATCTCTGGAGGAGGTTCTGACAATCACAGGCTGTATCATGCCTTTTCAGCCTGTGCCTATGGTGTGTATATGCTGGGACTAACGGAGGTGAAGCCTCCATCAATCTACATCCCATCCCTATAGTTTTTAGCAATATGAGAACATGGAGAAGAAGGGAGGTTGAAGACTGTAATTTACCACTGTGCATACATCCACATGTGTGACTTTATAGTCACATGGGCTGCACAGATAAGAAAAAGAAGGAAATGAATCACTTAGAAGTAAACTGAAAATGGAGCATGCTCTGTAGATGTGAAAACAGCTAGTCTACACAATCTCAGTATGCAGCAGGCACACAGACAAGGAGGGAGGGGCAATGAACAACAGAATCAACCACGTTTTTGAAGAATACAGAAGACAAATTCTATAGTGATTGAGTATGAACAGGATGAAATACAGCATGTACTGACCTTTTGCGTTTAACCCCTTGACACCGACGTCACACAAATATGCAGCATCACGGAACTGGGTTTTTTTTCCGTGGGGCCGTATATTTGCGTACCTGTTTTTGTGCTGGGAGTGCACCGCACTGCGCACTCCCAGCACAAAGATCGTGGTGTCACTGAGAGCCCTGGGTCCCGTTCTAATGATTGAGATCTGGGACTCCCTATTCCGGGTCACATGATCACTGTGATAGCCTCTGATTGGCTATCACAGTGATCAGTCACTGTGCAGCCCAGCCCCCTTGTTTTTTTCTCTCTCTATGAATGGAAAAGAGATATACTCCTTGCATGGAGAGAAAAAAAATGTTTGTAAAAAAAAAAAAAAAGATAAATATTAAAAAATAAAATAAAAAATAAAGAAAAAATACTTACATCAAGGTTTGATCTAGTTCAGTGCCAGGGTTATTGTTTGGGTCAGGGTCAAAGGTCAAGGTCAAAGGTCAGGATTACAAAAAATTGGTATCAGTGTAAATGTCAGTGTGTTTTAGGTAAAAAAAAACAAAAACAAAGAAAAAAACAAAATGCGCAGTATTGTTTCTGGGCTGTACTACGGGTACAAACAACAAATAACAGACACATATATGGTATCAATGCAATCGTAAAGAGCTGGAGAATTTATTTTGGGTTGTTCTTTGGTGGTAGGTTATGGTAGTAAAAAAAACACACAGCTAAATAAAAAAAATGATTTTTTTTTTTTACTATTTTGGGCCAGTTTTCCTTTGATAATAAAAAAAAAATCAGGAGATATCCATTACCATTTACCACCAAATGAAAGCCCAATTGTGCTTAGGCAGTTAGATTTGCAAAATTGTGCTTAGGCAGTTAGATTTGTTTTATCCTTAGGCATGACGGGGTTAATGACACTTTAAGTTTTACTTTAAGATTTGTAAATAACTGGTTCAAGATTGTAAACCAGTCATCATACCTTATTATCAGGGTGAGTGCTAAAGCAAAACTGTGCCACTTATATATGCATACATACCTGTCTTTATCACACTAATGTTAATTATATAAAATATTTTGTGATTAATCATATACAGCACCCTGCATGCCCCAGACATTGCTAGTTTCTCTTACCTTTTCCATTACCATAGATCTATATAGTGAATAGTAGTGTGCTAGCAACAAACATCTACACTTTTTATCACAATGAGTATAAGCAGGACAAAATACCATCAGTTGTGTATGGAAGCAAAAAAGATAATATTAGTTTAGGAAGAGCTTTATGTTTGCACAACTTTTTACTTGGTTAAATATAATCACTCTATTAAATGAATCATACTTAAATTGCTTATTTTAAGATTCCTAGAGAAGACTAATTATAACAGTTTGTCAGTCTTTGTTTTAGAGTTAACAAACGTAATAATGTAAGATCAAATTTTTACCTATCGTAAGCTGGAGGGTATAAATAGATTTATATTACAATCAAGTTGCTACCTGTCTAGGTGGCATGGGTATACACTATTAGCAGTAATGGTTAGTGTATTAGATTAAAGCACAACTGAATGTGAACAGAAGATTAAAACAAAACGAAAAAAAAAAAAAGCAGGCAACTAATATGCTGGACCAATTTACTGGGAAATGGAATCATCTTAAAAGAATAAAACATTATTACAAGTTTATCTTACAATAAAGTGTTACATTATGCCACAAGTAATACATATATAATTTGTTTGATTTTTTATTGTTATTGATAATGACCCTTTTTTATATTTTTCATATTTTGATTTTTTTTTAAAGTCTGTTTTTATTTTTAATTTAGTCTTCGCTGTGATATTTTTATGGGACATGTACATATAGTAATTTAAGGAATTATCGCCTCTTTTTAATTTAATATTTATCTTACAATATTGATAAATAAATAATATATTTAAAAAATTCTTTGACTTCCTTACTTAACCACTTTCGTACAGGGCACTCATACCCCCTTCCTGCCCAGACCAATTTTCAGCTTTCAGCACTGTCATACTTTGACTGACAATTACTCAGTCGCGAAAATGAAGACAATGATTATGACAAAATTGTCATTGTAACAGGTGTTTCCTCTCACATGGCATATGCATACTTGCAACTACACCCCAAAAACACATTCTGCTACTCCTCCTTAGTATGGGGATACCACATCTGTGAGACTTTTTCCTGACAACCTATGACATTTTTTAAGGCCCTGGAGCACTAGGACAGTGGAAACACCCACAAGAGGACCCCATTTTGGAAAGCAAACACTCCAACTTATTTTCTGTGAGGCATAATGAGTCTTTTGAACATGTAATTTTTTTCCACAAGAAAAGAAAATGTGGAAAGAAAA